TGCGTCACTGCACGCCTGCAATCCCAGCATTCAGTAGCGGCGGGAGAACCAAGAGTTTGAGTTTTCTTGGTGGTGGCGGCGGCGGTGGTGACGGTGGTGGCTGCGCACCCATTTAATCCCAGCACTCTGGGAGGTAGAGGCAGGTGGATCTCTGAGTCTGAGGCCAGCCTGGTCTACAGGGTGAGTTCCAGGACAGCCAGGCTATTCAGAGAAACTCTGTCTCAAAAACATAAACAACAATAACAAAAATTGAAGCAGAAACTGTGTTTCAAAAGCAACTCAAGGCAGTGAGACAGCTTGGTGGGTGAAGAAAGGCACTGGCGGCAAAGCCTAACCTAAGTTTAGTCTCTGGGACCCAAGGAAAGGTGGAAGGAGAGAAGAGACTCCAGAGAGTTGTTCTCTGATCTGCACTTGTGTGGTGGGGCTCATGTGCCCGAGCACGCACATATGTGATAGCAATAAATGATCTTTTAAGTTGGGCTGGAGAAATGGCTCGGCAGTTAAGAGCACTTACTGCTTTAGGAGAGAACTTGAATTCAGTTCTCAGCACCAGGGATCCAGGGACCTCTTCTGGTCTCCAAGGGCACCCAACACACACGAACACACACACATACACAAATACAAATACATAATTTTTTAAATTAATTTAAATGTTTAGGATTTTTTTTTTAAGATTTATGTATTATTTATATAGCTTTCTGCCAGATCTCACTATAGATGGTTGTAAGCCACCATGTGGTTGCTAGGAATTGAACTCAGGACCTTTGGAAGAACAGCGAGTGTTCTTAACCTCTGAGCTATCTCTCCAGCCCCCAATTTAAATGTTTAAAATATCAATTTATTTACATGTAAAATGGGGGAAGAAAGCTTAAAAGTACCTTCGGCAAAAGGTTGTTCAGAGTGGGGCATGGTTGTGAAGTAAGATTTTAAGAGTGGTGAAATACAAGCCTGTGGTGGTGGCTCACACCTTTAATGCCAGCACTTGGAAGGCAGAGTCAGGCAGGTCTTTGTGAGTTCAAGGCCAGCCTGGTCTACACAATAAGTTCCAGGACAGCCAGGGCTACACAGAAACAAAAGACCACCCCCCTCAAAAAAGAAAAAGTAATGAAAGACAAAGGCCAGTGTCTGATGGAGAAAGGGTCCTCAGAAGTGGTAGATGTTTTTAACATTTGACAGAAGTTTTTTAAAAAATCCCCTTTTGCTGGGCAGTGGTGGTGCTCACCTTTAATCCCAGCAGGCACAGGCAGGCAGATCTTTGAGTTTAAGGGTAGCCTGATCTACAGAGTGAGTTCCACAACACCTGGGGCTACACAAAGAAACCCTGTTTTGGAAAAATAAAATAAAATAATTAGTAAACAAAAATTACATCTTATTTATTTTGTGTGTATGTGTACATGTGCTCAGAGAGGTGAGGGGCTGGGAGATAGGGCGGTCAGAGGATGTCTTGTGAGAGTTGGTTCTGTTCTCTCCTACCACATGAGATTTGGGGATCAAGCCCCGGTTTTCAGGCTTGGTAACAGGCAACCTTTACCATTGAGCCACCTCGCTATCTGTCTTTTCGGGTTTCTAATAATTTACTCCACAGAATACCCACAAAAGCTCTCTGTGTCATTAACCCTGTTTAGAGTTTCAGGACAGTTGGAAGGCTCTCCACGATCACATAATGTAAGACAAATAACGCATGCTTTCTCTTGTATAGCATCTAGATTACACATATAGATGTATACATACATACATATACATCTATATGTGTGTGTGTGTATATATATGGCCTGAAAGAAGAAGGGGGACTAGTGACTGCTGGAAGAATGAAGGAACCAGTGGAGAGACACGGGAAGCAGAAGCTAACAAAAGGTGGAGGCACAAACATCACATTATTCCCTTTCATGTGCAGACATTGTGTATATAAATATATATTTTTATGTATTTTATATGTTATATATATATTTATATATAACAGGAAAGTAGAAAGGATGCATGGATGGAAAAAGGGTTCTGGGTAGGGGGAGGTGATAAGGGAGTGAATTCGACCAAAGCATAATAATATGCACGTATGAAAATAACATGATGAAACCCATTATTTACACTAATTTTAAAACAGAAATGACAATAAAGAAAATGATGGTGTTTCTTTAAAAGGGCCAGTTTGAGAGTCATTCATACAACACACTCTGAGAGTCTGCTATGTGCTGGGCTCCATGCCAAGCCCTGGGAATAATTGAAAGACAAATATGGTACAGTGTAGTTATAATCTAATGGGATAGACAGATACGTACTTAATTATGATAGGCATAAGGAATCCAGTTATAATAAAGCTATGAAGAAAAGCACACAGGCTGGCAAAAACCGACCCGCATTGGAGGTGGGGGCTGAGGCTGGGTGGATTTGAACTCTGAGAGCAGGAAGAAGCACAGAGAGCGCGTGGGGGCTGTGTGGCAGCTTCGTGACTTCTCTGGGGAGTAAAGGTGCCTTGTGCTGCAGCTGGCACACGGGTCAGCTCTTGTTCAGTGGGAAGGCTTTAGGTAGAGGGAGGGTTGGGTTGGAGAGATCCTGGAAGCCAAGAAGGCAGTTCTAAGGGAACTGTAGGAGGTCAAAGGGTGAGGAGGACAGGATGCAGAGACCATAAAAGGAAGATGCCAGAGAGGACTGTGAAAGGAGACAAGTCAAGCAAAGACAGGAGTGGTGGGCCTGGATGGCCCAGGAACTGCAATGATCTCATGCTGCCCTCAAAAGCCCCGGAGGAGAGGAGGGCTGTGCCTTGGCCCTTTGAAGTAGGCCTCTTCAGACCAGGAGCTATCAGTGAAGGGTGGAGTGCCGGAGCCAGTGAACCTAGGAGCAACAGGGAAAAAAAAGAGTACTTGCTGCTCTTGCGAAGGACAGAATTCTGCTCCTAGCACCCTCATCAGCGAGGCTCACAGCTTCAGGGGACCTGATGTCCTTTTCTGGTCTCCTCTGGCACCCTCTTTCCTCACATACACATAAACAAAGCAAATAATTTAAAGAAGAGAGAAAAGGCTTGCAGCCACCTAGCTATCCAGAGTGAGGACTTTGTTTGGTGTTGTCTTGGTGAGGGCTTTGCGCGTGCTAACCACTCAGCGGACTCCAGCAGAGAGTTTCTAGAAGCCAACTTTAGCATATGAATGGATCTGTTAGGTCAGCTCTAAGAGAAGAGGATTAATGAGGAAGGCTGGAGTAGGTGGTCCAGTTCTGTAATCCCACTCTGTAACCAAGGAGGTGGAGGCAGGAGGATCAGGACTTCAAGGGCAGCCTCAGCTACACTGCAAGTCCAAGGCCAGCTTTCCCTACAGGAGACTCTGTCTCAAGGAAAGGAAAGGAAGCGTGTTTGAGCTGGGGTGGAGCTCAGCGGCAGAGTATTAGCCTGTTATGTTTGAAGGAGGCCTGGTGTCTGTCCCCATCACCACCACTCAGTGCATGAGAGGGCCATGTGAAGCTAGCTGCTCTCTCCTCCTCCCCCTCCTCCTCCTCCTCCTCCTCCTCCTCCTCCTCCTCTTCCTCTCTCCTCCTCCTCCTCCCTGCCCCCCCCATCCAAAACCCTGGAAGCTAGGTGATAACCTGGGCCCAGTCAGGAGTTCAAGGCCAGCCTCAGGTACACAGTGAATTTGAAGCCAGCATGGGTTCCATGAGACTTTTTCTAAAGGAGAAGAATAAGAAGAGGCAGAGGGAGAGGCACACTCTTGAGTTGAAGAGGAATTTAGATTTCTTCACCAGCTACTGGAAAAGCAGCCTATGAGAACTTGCTCTTCCAACCTCCTGCAGGGGTCGCTGTTGCCTTAGGCTGGGGCTACCGCCTCTGGCTTCAGCCAATTTCTTCTAAGAAAAGTCTTTGCCTGGGTATTTACTGAGTACACACACCCTGGACCTGTTTCCAGCCAAGGGGGCTACAGGATGGCAGTGCTTAGCCAATGGCATTTGGTGGGGGTGGTAGAGTGGGCACTGATTTTCTTCTTCTGCTTCTGGGTCACAAGTTTATTAAAATAAAAGAAACTGGGTAAATGCTGCCATCTGTGCTGCCCTCAATACACACATACTGGGGGCGCGCGCGCGCGCGCGCGCACACACACACACACACACACACACACACACACACACACCCTAGGTCCCAGACTAGACAGAGGGATTGGAACTGCTTTACAGACACTCCAAGGACTTCACTGAAAACCTAGCTCGCTCGCGTGTTTAGTTCTTGCAGATCTCTGCACTAGTTCTTTAACATCTCTGCTCAGGATGGTGGGGTAGGCTGCTCCAGGAGGTGAAGACCCCTGAGTCTGCTCTGGCATGAGGGGCCCCTCCAAGCCCAAGTCCCTCTATGGGGCTCGGAGCCAAGAGCCCCCATGAGCCATGGCCTCCAAAGGGCAGCGGTGATTTTTTTTTCACATAAATATATCGCACTTAAATGAATTTAGACAGCATGACATCAGAGAGTAATTAAATTGGTTTGGGTTGGAATTCCGTTTCCAATTCCTGAGTTCAGGTTTGTAAAAGATTTTTTCTGAGCACCTGCAGGTTTGTGTCTGTGTGTGTGTGTGTGTGCGTGTGTGTGTGTGTGTGTAAGTATTTTCACTGGAAAGGATTCAAAATTAGAGGGGAAAAAAAACTGGAGCGCACAGGCAGCATTACGCCATTCTTCCTTCTTGGAAAAATCCCTCAGCCTTATACAAGCCTCCTTCAAGCCCTCAGTCAGTTGTGCGGGAGAAAGGGGGCGGTCGGCTTTCTCCTTTCAAGAACGAGTTATTTTCAGCTGCTGACTGGAGACGGTGCACGTCTGGACACGGGAGCGTTTCCACTATGGGACTGGATACAGACACACGCCCGGCGGACTTCAAGACGCTCAGACTGAGGAGAAAGCCCTGCCTGCCGCTGCTGCTGCTGCCACCGCTGCTTCTGAAGACCCGCTCCTTTCATGGTTTTTCCTGCCAAGCCAGAGACACCTTCGCTGCTGCTGCCTTTCTCTGTGGTGTCATTCAGCGGCTGGCCAGAGGATGAGACTCCCCAAACTCCTCACTTTTTTGCTTTGGCACCTGGCTTGGCTGGACCTGGAATTCATCTGCACTGTGTTGGGTGCCCCTGACTTAGGCCAGAGACCCCCAGGAGCCAGGCCAGGGTTAGCCAAAGCCGAGGCCAAGGAGAGGCCACCCCTGGCCCGGAATATCTTTAGGCCAGGGGGTCACAGCTATGGTGTGGGGGCCACCAATGCCAGGGCAAAGGGAAGCTCTGGGCAGACACAGGCCAAGAAGGATGAACCCAGAAAGATGCCCCCCAGATCCGGTAGCTCTGAAACCAAGCCAGGACCCCCTCCCCAGGCTAGGCAGGCTGCAGCCCGGACTGTAACCCCAAAAGGACAGCTTCCTGGGGGCAAAGCATCCTCAAAAGCAGGATCTGCCCCCAGCTCCTTCCTGCTGAAGAAGACCAGGGAGCCTGGGACCCCTCGAGAGCCCAAGGAGCCGTTCCGCCCACCCCCCATCACACCCCACGAATACATGCTCTCGCTGTACAGGACGCTGTCCGATGCTGACAGAAAGGGAGGCAACAGCAGCATGAAGTTGGAGGCTGGCCTGGCCAACACCATCACCAGCTTCATTGACAAAGGGCAAGGTGAGGGGGTGGGGTGGGGTGGGGTGGCAGGGACCCAGGTGGGGCATTTGCAGAGACCCAGGAGTTCTAAAATCCTGGTGGGCACAGGTCGGGGAGAGTGTGTACATCAGCTTAGGGTGGGAATCTGGGGTTTATCTCATAGATACCAGATCCAGTCCAAGGGGCATGTAGGCACCACCAGGATCAACTTCTGCAAGGTGCAGAATTGGGCACTAAAGAGCAGAGAGGAGCCACGACCTGCCAGCCAGATACTAGACTCCAAGGCCCGCTCTTGATTACTGGGTCATGCTCTGTGCCTTGTGTGGGTTGGCTGAGGTTTCTAAGTTCCAGGTTTTTCTCAGATAGCAGAGAGAAAGAAACTTTAGGTCCCCGTGGTTCTTCAACTTTGCCCTCAGATAGGGGGCAAAGGGGCAGATTATGTGAAGACAGAGGAAGCAGTTGACCTAGGGTCTAACTCGCACTGTGACTGGAGAACGCCCCTTCCCTCCGGGGGTCTCTTTGCCTATGTGTGTACTACGTGGGTGTTGGACTGGGTGCCGTGAGAGTGTTTTTGGATGGGAACACCTTGTGTCCTAGCCTAACACGTGCCGTTTTCGTCAGCAACCTGGGAGAGTTCTTGTCCTCCTTGCTTCTCCGGAGGTCTGTCCACCTCAGTGTTAACGGCTGGCCGTTCCTCTCCACTTGCTGTGTCCCCAGCAAATCCCTTCCCTTCTGAGTCTCAGGTTCTCCACAGCCCGGAGATAGTTGGGCTGTGGGCTGGCAGCTGGTGAAGTTTCTCGCAGCTCTGGTTCTGAGTCTTGGGACTTTGGCTGGCAGGGTGGGGGAGGGGCCAGAAAGTGGGAGAGGCTCCTCATTAGAGCTGGTCTGTGGGGGAAGGACAGGGGGGGGGGAGGTCCAGAGGCAGCAGGTCTGGCAGAGGTGGGGGAGGTGGCCTGGCTGCCTGCCCAGCCAGGGAAAGCTGTGACCCCTCTAGGGCTCATAAAATAAGTCCTCCTGTCCCCCCCAGCACTAAGGGAGCTTAGGGAGGGGGAGATGGAGAGTTTAAAGGCCTAATTAGTTACCTTCTAGAGCAATATTTGAATGTTCCCTAATGGCATATTGGCATTTAGGAAGGAGCGCATGCTGATTCAGAGATACCACTGAGCTTACACACACACACACACACACACACACACACACACACAGCTTTATAGTTTATACACATGGTAAATGAATCACATACATGCACACATATATATAGCATTATATTTCAAGTATTCACATAAGCCCAACTGTGCTACTGTACTTACATATGCCAATAGCATCTACATCACCTTCTACATACTCACGAACCCAATCTCGCACACACACACACACACAACACTTATGAACGCAAAACCGTTACGCTGGGGACTGGGGAAGCTGAGTTGCAGACCGGCTTTGCTCTGAATCTGCTGCGTTGCCTGCCTCAGTTTACTCCGCATCTGTACCCTGCCATAACAAGAACACGAAACTCTTTGAGAGGGAAGAAGCTCAGAATGGAGTCTTAAAGTTCCAGGCTGCAGCTCTCTTTCTGTTTCCCCCTAGCTGGATGACATTGAAGGAGTCCTCTAGTTGACTCCGCGCTCCAGGGTCCTCCTCGGGAAAAGTGGGTGATTTAAATGTGCGCACCGCCTGCCTGACTTGCGGAAGACAATCCTGCTGGCTCGCGGCTGGGGTGGGCACTGGTAGAAAGCAGCTCTAAGGCTAACGACTCTAATAATATATATATCCACACAAACACCGCGGCACCGAGCAGCCACACGCCTACCTTCATTTGGAAAAGGGCTCTTGGGTTGGGTGTTGGCTTCGGCCGTAGCGCGGGGGAAGAGGTTAGCGAATTCTCTTTCGAGTGGGAGAGAGCTGGGTCCTCTCTGGAGGCCCAGAGGTGGGAGGCTGTCTTGGTGAAGTGACAGGGATTAACTCCTGGCTGTTTTCTCTAGATGACCGAGGCCCTGTGGTCAGGAAGCAGAGGTACGTGTTTGACATCAGTGCCCTGGAGAAGGATGGGCTGCTGGGGGCTGAACTGCGGATCTTACGGAAGAAGCCCTCGGACGTGGCCAAGCCAGCGGTCCCCAGTAGCGGGCGGGTTGCCCAGCTGAAGCTGTCCAGCTGCCCCAGCGGCCGGCAGCCGGCAGCCTTGCTGGATGTGCGCTCCGTGCCAGGCCTGGATGGGTCTGGCTGGGAGGTGTTCGACATCTGGAAACTCTTCCGAAATTTTAAGAACTCAGCGCAGCTGTGCCTGGAGCTGGAGGCCTGGGAACGGGGCCGGGCCGTGGACCTCCGTGGCCTGGGCTTTGAGCGGGCTGCCCGGCAGGTCCACGAGAAGGCCCTGTTCCTGGTGTTTGGGCGTACCAAGAAGCGGGACCTGTTCTTTAATGAGATTAAGGCCCGCTCTGGCCAGGATGACAAGACTGTATACGAATACCTGTTCAGCCAGCGGCGGAAACGGCGGGCCCCCCTGGCCAACCGCCAGGGCAAGCGACCCAGCAAGAACCTCAAGGCTCGCTGCAGTCGCAAGGCCTTGCACGTCAACTTCAAGGACATGGGCTGGGACGACTGGATCATCGCGCCCCTGGAGTACGAGGCCTTCCACTGCGAGGGGCTGTGCGAGTTCCCCCTGCGCTCCCACCTGGAGCCCACCAACCACGCGGTGATCCAGACCCTGATGAACTCCATGGACCCGGAATCCACACCCCCCACCTGCTGTGTGCCCACGCGGCTGAGTCCCATCAGCATCCTCTTCATCGACTCCGCCAACAACGTGGTGTACAAACAGTACGAGGACATGGTCGTGGAATCCTGCGGCTGCAGGTAGCAGCGCCCGCCCTCTGTCTTCCGGGGTGGGCCGTCCAGAGAGAACCCCTCCGTCTGCTCCCGGAATCACAGAGGGGTTGGGAAGCCGTGTCTGCAAGTATCCCGGCAGCCTGCAGGGCAGGGTTTCAGCAGCCTTGCTCTCTGGGGGTGAGCTGGGCTAAAGGGTGCTCCGCCTGAAGATTCCTGCCCGAGGAAGAGACTCTCAGTGGGACTGAGGCCCAGGGCAGCAGAGGTGCCTTCTCTCCTGTCTGGGCGTCCTCAATTTCCAGACTCTCCAGAGAAGCTGGAGCTGTAAGCCAAGCGCTTCCTGGGAGAGCCGCAAGTGCCATACCCTCTCTGAATCACCTTTGTGCCTGGTGACTTTCCGCCCCTAGGGCAGATGAGATGTTCATTGCCGGGGCTGGGCAAGAAGGGGAAAGGACTTGGGCAGGGGTGAAGAGTACGAGCCTATTAGACTGTTAGATTAAAATGTACATTGATGAGATAAAAAGCTGAATCTTCATGCCTAAAATTGTGGCAGATTTCTTGTTTACTCCAGGGGACCCCGGCCTTTAGAGGAATTGCTGCCCCTGAGAGTGAAGGTAGGTTGCCTCAGGTATAAACTGTTTCCCAGGCCTGGACTTCACCCCCACTCCTGGGAACTGAAGCAGAATGGGGCAGAGAGTACATACATCTGGTCAGGGCCAGGGCTCACCTCTAACCCCATTCCTGATCCTTCCAAAGGCGCATTGGTCCCCAGCTCCTTCTACTCCATTGGGGCCTAGCAAAGAGCTAGAGTTTTACATTCCTTAATCAAGCTCACTGTCTCCAAAATGAAGCCTTGGGGGGGGGGGTGCTGGGGAGGCTTGATTTTTTAAAAAATCATCTCTACTTCATTCGCCAGCATCTGCCCAATCCCCTGTTCCCCACTCTTTCACAATCACAGAGTCCACTGGGCCTCATTTAAAGGGCCCTCTACTTTTTTCCATTGAGGCATCTGGGCCGCCAAGGCTGTCCGACTTCCCTTGGTGGTGTCTCGTTTCTGCCACTGGCCACTGCTCCTCGCGGGATGGAGCATGGTCTGGTCTGGGACCCCACTGCTCTCTGACGCTGTGTGAAGACAGCGCTTCACTGTTCGCTCAGCTCCGAGGCAGAAGCGGAGCTCCCCCCTTTACTTTTCACATTATGTAAGTATGTAATTACACACAAAATCATTGATCTCCCTGCTGACCTCAGGCAGACAGAAAATGCCAGGCACATCCTCACAGGGCTTCACGCTCGGAACTTGGCCCACAGTAAATGCTCACTTCCTTTTCTTAGCTAGAACCTTTGGGGAGGTGGAGGGCATGACTTTTGGAGAGGACAGTCCTCTCTGATGGGGAAACTTAGCCACCTGGATCTCAGAGTGGGGGTTGGGGGCTCTGTGGCTCAAGGCCAGACTCTACCTGGCTAAAGAGAGACTCAAGGACCAGGAGAAGTCCAAGTCGCTGGTTCCCACCCAGAGGGCCTCAAAATTTTCCCCACCTCTCTCCAGCTAGGCCTTTGATTCCCAAGGCTCCTGGCCAAAGCTGTCTCAAAAGTAGAGATCCCTGCCGAACAATGGGCAGGTCTTGTGTCCTTTCCCTTTGGGTTGTCAGGACCTGAAGCAAGAGCCCAGGGCAGTGGCAGCTTCCTTTTAAGCTGTCTCCTTGGTATGGAGGCCATTACCTGTCCCAGAGGAGCCAGGCTGAGTCTGGAACTGAGTTCTCTCTGGCTAGGCTTCGTTGTGTTTGGCTAGTTGTGAGCCTGGGAGCTCTGGAAGTAAACAAAAGAGCTGCCACATTAGACAGAGGCCTGGTGTGTGAGAGAGAAGGAGCCTGGAGGAAGGCCCTGGCAAGGCCAAGGAGACAACTGTGGTTACAGAGAGAGCAGCGTAAGAGCGAGGTGGGCAGCACCTCGCAGGTGGTGCTGGCTGCCCTGGGTACCTATTTCCTGGGCTGTGTGACTCTTGTTTCTTGGACAGTTCTCCCAGCCTTAGCTCCAGTAGGGCATCGCTTGAGTCACAGAGCTCTTCCTGCTGAAGGCTAGGCTGTGAGAGAATGGTCACAGCTCTGGCTGGACACCCCAACAGCTTTCTTTCCCACACCAACCTGCCCTGGAACTTTTTTTTTTCTCCCCTTCACCCAACTCTAAGGGTCTGATCTGACCACTGGGAGTGGCAAGAGCCCTTCCCTCCCAACCTTCAGATCGGGGCCATGGCGTCCTTGGAGAACTCTCTCCCCCAGCACCACATCTGGCTGCCGCCACAGGGAGTTGTGCACTTGTGTACTGCATTAGTGCTCAAAAGGCTTAGGAGATGGCTTGTTTGGTAAAGTACTTACCATACAAGTGTGAAGACCCGAGTTTTCATCCCCAGCACCCGCATAAAAACCAGAGCACAGCAGCACCTGTCTTCAATCCCAGAGCGAGGGGGGGTAGGCAGAGGCAGATCCCTGGAGCTCGCTGGCCAGTCTGCCTAGAGGAATCACTGAGCTCCGGGTTCAGTGAGAGACCCTGCCTCAAAGCATAAGATGGAGAGCAACCAAGGAAGATACCAGACATCATCAGCCCGTGGCCTGTGCATGAATACACACAGCCCACATATGCGCACACAAAGGTACATGTGCACCTGGATGCTCAAGCGCACACATACACATACCCCTCACACATGCGCACACAGACAAGTCAGGTTTTCTGTTTACACTCTCCATTCCATAGTTCCCCAGCTCTGAAGGATTCAAAAGGTTGTGCAGCTTCAAGCTTCAGTTCTGTCTTCCTCTGTCAGCTATAAGCCTGGGGGGCTGCAGAGATGGCTCAGTGGTTTAGAGCAATTGCTGCCCTTGCCAGAGGACTTGAGTTCAGTTCCCAGCACCCACATCAAGGGCTAATAACCCACCTGTGATTCCAGCTCCAGGGGATCCAAAGCCCCCTCCTGGCCTCTGTGGGTACTTGCACACAGGTGTGAATACATACACATGAGTGTGCGAGCACACACACACACACACACACACACACACACACACACACATAAACAAAAATAAATCTTAAAAACAAGTTACAGGCCTTGAACAAAAGATAGATACTGCCATGCAGCCAGCTGTCCTACAACGTGCTATGTTGTAGGCTAGTCCTTGGCTTTTAGGGATTGTAGGTATGTATCGCCATGTCCATCTTGGTTCCTCATTTGAGAAAGGGAAGAAGGAAAGGAATGAAAGAAGAAAAAGAAAAAAGAAAAAGGGGGCCAAAGCCAACTGTGAGGATAGGAAAGACACTCAAGCCAGTAGAGTAAGTGGCACTCAGTGAACGTTAACTATTGTGCCTTAAATTGACCTGAGCAGGCAGTATAAGGACTGTTTGTGTGTGTGTGTTTTAAGCAGTGTGTGTATGTGTGTGGTCCTCATGGTGAAGCTCTGGCTATCCTGCCACTCATTCTGTAGCTCAGGATGGCGGTGATCTTCCAGAGATCTGCCTGCCTCTGCCTCCCTGGTGCAGATTAAAGGTGTTCGCCACCACGTCCCAGATATTAAGAGGACCATTGACTTTAGTTGTTTTTGCAGATAGGAAGCTGATACCCAGAAGAATGGCAAAGTGGCCGGCACACATCTGCAGATCTCCTCATTCTTATACCCACTCTTCTGGGCCCTGAGTCCACTGACCCCTGTCTTGGCCAGCAATGGAGTCACCTCCCTGGCTTGGCTCCCTGGCCCCAAAATTGTCTCCTTAGGGACACACCATGCTGTTAGTTCCTTGGGAAAAATAGCAGAGCAGAGTTTAGGGCAGGAAACATGAGAGGCCCAGAGGGGAGGAAAGAAGGGAGGTTTCCAGCACTGTGCTCCGCATCGCTGGGCCCTTTCCATATCCTGTGTCCCAGGGTCACAACAGGAGAAACAGTTTGCCCAGGACTGGGACAGACAACCTCAGCAAGCCTTACAGCCTTCATTCCAACTCAGCTGGCTCTCCTGTGCTGGAGCACAGCAGGGCTAGTCATATGAATGGGAATTAGCACGTTCCAACCCTGGTTCTACCACTGTCCAGCTACGTGGTGCAGGCCAAGTTACTTAGCCTCTCCAAGCCTCAGTTTCCCAATCTGTAAAAAAGGTGTAATATAAAAGTTATAAATCGGGGGCTCCAGAGATGACTCAGCTGTTGAAAGCACTTGCTGCTCTTTCAGAAGGCCTATGTTTGGCTCCCAGGTCCCACACAGCAGCCCACAACCATCTGTAACTCTAGTTCCAGAGGGGTCAATACCCTTCTGTAGTCTCTATGGGTACCATCCATACATGTGGTAACACACATGTGGTGCATATACATACATAAAAGGAAACACACACGACATAAAGATATATGAACTTTGAAAAAGTGTAAGTCCTTAGATTCTGCATACAAGGGTACTTATTCACCATTTTTGTTTGTTTTTCGAGACAGGGTTTCTCTGTGTAGCCTTTGCTGTCCTGGACTCACTTTGTAGAGCAGGCTGGCCTTGAACTCACAGAAACTTGTCTGCCTCTGCCTTTCAGAGTGCTGGGATTACAGGTGTGTGCCACCATGTCCAGCTCCATTTCATCAGTTTTTGATCTAGTCATCCATTCATTGATTAATGAATAGTTATCTGAAGGTCTAGTCAGGCACAGACACTGTACTGTTGGAGTGTTGGGATAATGAAGTCAGAGGCACTGAAAATGTTTACCAAGGGCTTGTCATGTGCCCGGTTCTTGTATTAGCACTTTATGGAACATTTCATACTTACAATGATCTCAAGGTTCACACATAAATGGAAAAGAAAACAAGGAACCTAAAGTGTGTTGGGACAAGGGAGGCTGGATGAGAGTAGATGAAATAGAACAGGAAAGAAAAAAACTTATTCATTTATATCCATGAAACTACCTCCATAACTAAGTGTCTAGGATATGAAGAAAATTGTGGCTTCACCAACTTCAGATTGAAAGGAAATGGCATTGTAGGTGGTTGTGAAGCTTGTGGAGTTAATGGAGTAAAACATGGCTGCCTGAATGCTAATACAAGTAGGAGCTTCAGGACTGGGATGACAGGTCATGGTTCAGAGATGTAAAAGCATAGCCTGGGCATGACATGACTCTGGGGTTAAACCCCAACACTGCAAAAAGAAATTAAAAAAAAAAAAAGAAGGAAAACAGTGCTCGTTATATATCATCACAGCTGGCTTTGTTTTAGAGATTTCCTGACTTTTGTTTTAAGAGACAGGGTCTCTCTGTGTAGCTCTGGTTGTCCTGGAACTTACTATGTAGACCAGGCTGGCCTCGAAATCACAGAGATCTGCCCCCCTGAGTGCTTGGACTAAAGGCATCACCACAGAAGATGCGATAGTGAGAGGCCTAGAGATACTGTCCTAAGGGACTGAGCTGAAGAGACTAGAGCTATAAAGACGGGGTGGGAGGAGAAGAGCAGCGTGAGGAAACACTGCGGCCTTGAGGACTTCTGTCGGTAGAAGAGATGCAATCAGAATGTGTCGTTCCAGAGACT